CCCTCTACCCCCCCCCCCTCCACCCCACCACGGATCAGGATTTATTTAACGTCCCGTTTATTAACCCCGCGTGCTGACGCGCGCTTGTTAATTCTGCGCCTAGCGCGACTAGAACAAATAAACTGAAAGACCCTTTTCTCTCTCTGTCGTCGATACAGCGTAGAGGAAGACGGAAAATATGTTCGCCAAATAATACAGAGATCCCGGACTCGCGCGTTGTGGAGGAATAATAAAACATCAAAATTCAAATGAATTTCACTATAGGAAGATACACGGTATAACGAAGTCACAGTACGTTAGTGGAAGGACCTTGGGTCAGTGGATGTGTTCCAGTACGGTTGCATAATGGTTCGTATAAAAAAAAACCATTCCCACCTCGCGAACGTCTCCGCAGAGGATACTGGTGTAGATGGACGTTAGGTACGAGGGAGCGATAAAAAATACACAAGCCTAGGTACGCTTATATCCAATATAAGATAGTGCGATTAATTCGAATTGTACATAGTGAGTTCGCGCTAACTCGGCCAAACGATTATTCGCACACGTAGGATACGATTTCGTTATAGTACCCCGGGAGCGGTAACAGTATATGACAATTAAATTACAACAGGCTGTAATCGCGTAAATGGATAGCGCATTGTGGTAGGTGTAGGCAGGTACACGGGGGTATTAGGAAACGGCAACGTAACACAGATCAGAGAGATTCAAAGGATTCGGCAGCGGTTCTAAAACGGTACACGGGGTGCGTGCGTTCTACGTGAAACAAGAGAAAGACATTTCCGAGTGGTAGCCCGACGGGTACGGGCGAAGGAACAAGAACAGGCGTGCAGAAGCGATTAAAGGGAGCGAGCGAACGAGGCACAGGAGAGCAGGAGAGAGCGAGAGTACCTGGCACGTAGCCTGCGCCTCCTGGTGAACAAAATAAATACCAAAGCGAGAAAATACCATTGGCGAAGTGTTAGGAAGACGAGCAGACAGCCAAGAGATCAGCGACAACAAGAACAAGCACCTCCTGGTGGAGCTTGAACGAGCAAGGAGCACGCGAAGCACCACGGACGATGCGCCACTCGGGGTTCTCTACGGCGTGTAACAAGGAACAATAACAACGAGTAACAACACGGCTCACGGCACTGACACGGGTTAACACTGCCAATAGCGAAGCAAGGCTGTGGGTGTGTTCGCAGTCGCGGAACGCCAGTGTTGGTTGCGAGAAGGAAAGACGGCAGAAAACGAGAGCCGACCGACTGAGCGGAGCACAGGGACGATACTACACACTGTTCTTCGACGGTCAGTCGTTCCTTCTCGCTGTAGCATCTACCCACACGTTGCGTATCAAGCGTATATGGTGTATATCAGTCATGTGCGTACATATATATATATATATATATAGAGAGAGAGAGACCTACAGATACGCAGGACACGTAACCATAGAACCGCCCGTATGTGAAGGCACGTATATATAAAGTCACTGGTTGTATTATAGACTATAGACGCACGAGTGGTATATACCAGTGTGTATACAACGGAGCAGAGGGTTATACTATATATAGTTATTACATATCACATGTACCAGCATAGCGTTTAAGCGCGTTGCTGTAGCGAGATGCATACATACATTTCTATGTGGCTGCTAAGCGCGTTTAGAGTCTCTTACCACTACGTGCTCGCGCGTAAGAGTATCGCTGTAAGCGTAGAAGACCAGTACCTATAGACTCCGAGTAAAGTACATCGAGGTTCGACTATGTGCGGTGATATGCGAGTGCATGCGGTAACAGTTTTATACGGCGAAGGGGAGTGAAATTCGTCACCGAATTTTGTGAGGATGCCAAAGGATACGTTACGTTACGCGTACTTTTTCTTCGTACGACTTTTGTCACCGCTGTTACTTTCCGTTAGGATTGTACGCTGGTACGCGAGGAGTACAGTGGGTTTATCGTTTCTGCTTCTAGCTTATTTGTTAATCCCACGCGAGAACATTCCACCTACGAAACCCGCTCGCTCGGTCTGCTCTTGATTTTTCATCGAGTTTCTGAACACCGTGGACAGTGGAGTGCGTACGTATGTGTACATATGTATTTATATGGTATATAGGCAGTCGAGTACGTGGAATAGGGCATGTAATTTTTATATATTTTTTTTCTTTCATAACCGCGTAATTGGGTACGAAAATGGGCCCTAGGCGAACCACGCAGGTGTGCCACCACCGCGGAACGAAAAAACCTGTACGCGTGGGCGTTAAGCAGACAGGATGAAGTTTTTGGTCTCTGTCAAAATTGAAAAAAAAAAAAAAAAAGGATTTTACGTCCACGCGAAAGATCACGCATCTCGTGAAACACTAGTTCCTCTTTTCTATTGTCATTGGGTCTTTTGGGTCCTACGCACAAACAGACCCTGACTAAATTAATTGTATGTAAACTCTCGTAGCACTGGGACTCGACCTAATTACGGTTAATACGCAACAGCATATCATTATTTAGCACTGTATCCTTCCTACACGTATTAAATACGTCATTCGTCGACTCAGGAGATTAAGGGACACTCGCTCGGAGCTTTCCTTGGGTTTACAAGTGTGCAATTGGGTCTTGGCAAGGTACCGTGGATGGTGAAAGACCCTACGCAAGCAGGCCCAGGGCAAACTACGCAGGTGTACCAGGGAACGCAACCGGATCGCGTGGGAATCAGCTATATCGGACGATTTACAATGGGCCGCTTCTTCGCCCACTCGCTATCGATTCCACAAGCTGTGAGCGAGTTTCGATTGTACAGGGGTTTTATATTGTCTGTAGATGAAATTAAATATATATATGTGTGTGTGTGTATATATGTATATAATAAGGACCAGGGGAATACGGAAATCGATAAAGTTATCCATAATGATAGTTACAGTAACGATACGAATACGTAGTTCAACATGGCGGATGAGTCAGGATCCTATTAGCTTGCTCGACTGTCCGCGGACAAAAGAGTAGCCGAGTGGAATTTAATTACTTGGCCTGAATTAAGTGACTGATCTAATTTCTCGGATTCTTCTTGGGACACCGGTGAGCCATTTCGTTTGTGATATTTATTTCTCTCTCGTTCATCGCACTCTCTCTCTCTCTCTCTCTCTCTCTCTCTCTCTCTCTCTCTTTCTCTATCTGCATTAACAGTGTGCGTCCGTTGATAGGTATACGTGGACAGACTGAAATCCTGTTTACGTTTCCGGAAACTCTCGGCGAAGGACGGTTTTGTGCGACTCGTGATTAATTGAATTGCCCTCGCATTTAATTGCGCTCCTCTAGGCCTTTGCTTGGGAGTTCGCTGCCTCGTATCTCCAGGATTCTATCAGAATTGGCGATTGTAATGATTGGGCTTTGTTTCAGTGTCTTCTTAAAAATAAATCTGAAACTGTATTGATTATTTGGTCCCACGGTCCTTACGTTGTGATTGAATATTATATTATGGAAACTCGTTACTCACAATGGTGGGAATTCATTGGAAACAGGTTTCAGGCATTCCAGCACTGGGTTTATATGGTAGTATAGCTCATGAATGACTTGATACAATTGATAATCCGCATTGATCATTTTCTCCTTGTCATTCAGCATGTGGTCTGTATATCAGAGAAGACAGGAAAGAATTGTCGACTATTTCGAGGACTCCAAAGAATATCAATAGATATTCTTTAAACATCGTGCAGGATGTTATTTTAGGGCATCCTCGTGGCATCTGACTGTGATATTATTTTACCAAGTATTACTGTGTAATTTCTAAAAGAGAAAAAAAAAAATTCCAAATTACTCCCACCACTTGATATTCTGAACGTCGGTATCTCAATGAAATACACTCTGCCCACACATACCCGGGGGACAGTGACACGTAAACCCATTCTAGCCGACAACTGGAAACCTATGTCAATATAAATTTTCGTTTTGAACACAACGCGGTATAAGTATAGATATTTCCTTGGCACGAAGAAATAAAATCACGAGAGATATACCAGCACACGTAAAACAACATCTTGGACTTGTAGATGGGTCATGGTCTCCCGAGGAGAATAGTTCACCTCCCGGGATGTTTCAAGGCACCCTGACACATACTAGCCCACGCAAAACAGTTCAGGGACCGAGCGTCACGTTCAAGAACCGACAAAGTCCTGATGAATGCTAACTTCTGCTATACTGTAACAGAAGGGAAAGATCGTCCGCGAAACCAAGACGGATACAATTAGTAATAGCTCCGAGAGAGGTCCTAACCAGAAATTCTTATGAAAAACATTAAGCGTTGTTTTTTACCAGCTGGCGATGCCGCAACGAGCGATAGAAAGTCCGTGGGGTATCACTTTAACGGTGACAGACTGTAGTACCAGGCATGGACAATAGTTACGCCGCGCCTCTTCACCGTGGCAGGAAAGGGAGAGGGTCTCGTCATAGGCCACCCGCGGTAAATGCCCTCTCTCACTGCTTCTAATTCATTATAATACTTAACAATATAGTTATGTGTTAGTGTACAACAAAGTCGCGTGCAATAGTTATACTATAGCGTGGTGTTTTCATAGAATTATTTGTTTCCGTGTGGTATATGCCGGTAGGACGCTTCGCGAATGTATCTTGTATATGCAAGGGCCCGTTGCTACTATGTTTGATCCTGATATTTCGACAGACTCCTGGACGCTTCCGAAGAATAGAAGCCGTGGACACCACACTCACATTTTATGAGGACCACGCCGTTGTGAAGCTCGTCCATCGTCGAGGAATCCGTCGACGGTGCACTTCACTTCATTCGCGAACACGTGCCGCCCGTAGGCATAATTACACTCGGAGCGTCCTCGCTGTCGTCTACGACGGCAACAATGCGGCAACAAAGAAGCACCAGCGAGACGGTAAACATGGCCGCGGCGCCGGACCGCATAGCCGTCATGCACTGAGGGAGTTTGATGGGAAACGAAGCTAGATGACTGAGAGGGCAGCACTGTCTCACAGGGATAGACTGTGAACCAAGTGCTGCGAGAGAAAGAGAGACAGGGTGAGTGAGTGGTATTGGTTGGTGAGAGACGAAAGGCATAATTTCTTATACGAATACTAGATGGCACCATTGTCGATCTTTAGTTTACGTTATGATACACGCTAGATGTATACAGAGTCATCCAGCTCAAAGGTAACATTCCAATTTGACAGCTGTCAAACAGCAAACATTTTGCAATATGGAGATAGCCAGTATGACAATAAGAAACAATAAAAAAAAAGCTATATGATATTACATTTTTCAGTCCTATACACCGTTAGCCTTCGCCCATAGTAATCCGATTAGCATTAAGAATTTCTAATTAGTCTAAATAAAATCCACTGTTGATCCATCTGAGTTCAGTTTATAGAAATATGTAAATTAAAAAACAAGGGGTTGAAAGTCGACTCATACTCTCAAGCTGAAGGAGCCTGTATGTACCAAAGTACAATAACCCAGTCATTGTTATGAGCACGCTGCTCCAGGAAACAGGCATATCTACCGGCAATGCTGTGACGCTTATATTCCATTTGAAAGTAGAGACCATAATGAATGGGGAGTATTGCTTGAAACGCGCACAATCAATCTCCCAACTACAGAATGCCAGTAGCAACGAATAGAATAGCATGATAAGCATACACATTGCTGAAGCATTGGGTCAGGACTGAATAGCCATAGGTCGTGTACCAGCATAAGATGCTGTGACTCGGTCACTCGATCATGAGATTATTGTAAAGTTAATTAAATGGCTCGGAGAGAGAGAGAGAGAGAGGGGGGAACAGAGAAAATTTTGGCCTATTCAAGAAGCGTGACGCTTAGGATCCCCGGTGCATCCCGTGTGTCTAGCTGTGTGTACAAACGAGCCTAGCTCTCAGCTGCACCGTAACGATGCAACCAACCCCTCCAGGTCTCAGCTATGCACCAGGGAGGTACAGTATGCTTCAAAAGTTCCGAACTCGTATCCTCCCGAACCCCATTAAAACTCTTGAGACAGCCAGAAAAAATAAGGTCATACTAATTATTGAGTTCCAGGGCAAAAAACGTTTAGGATGCTTGAAAAAGTATCCAGCGCGACACACGAGACTCTTAACAAGGCGAAATCCGACACTGCGGAAGTGCGTAGCGCTTCCGACGTGTGCAGGCAGACCGTGAAGAATACTGAACAGCGAAGAGTAGACCGAAGTTGGAAGCGAATGAAAAATGAAAAAGTGATGCACTCTTATTTTTTTCTCGTGATCACTCCGTTAGTCGCGGTTCGAACGTGGATAATAAAAAAATAAAGAATTACAAACCACAGGCCTGTAAGCACAGTGGGTAGGTCGAGGACTAACGATAGAATTGTCGGTAAAACAGGGACTCTCTAGGGTCCAAGTGCAGCGGATGCAGGAGGGTGTTTGCCGGTGCAATGCAGAGATGGCGAGTCGGTTTGTTTTCGTTGATAATAATCTTGGCGTCTGCCAATGAGTTTGCGTTGGAGCATCCCCACTACCTGACTGGTTCACTCTGTGCTCTCTCCACCGCCTGCACTAGCTTTATCCCCTCTTATTTTCGGCGAGGACTGAAACGAGGTCTACATTTTAGTACGCATTAGAACGTCCGAACATGATAAGTTTTTCGATCCGAGGTTATGACGCAGGCTTATCACCAGACCAAGTTCCGATGTGAGTTTTTTTTACTATGATTCTGAGATTTCCCGATCATCGGCCAACTACTGCTTGGGACTGACGTGACAAGTCTCGTTAACACAATTTTATGATTCATTACCATTAGTATGCCGTATCAGTCGCTTCACGAATTTCATTCACTAACGTTCGATCGTTCTGTTTTTCTTGCAGGGACCGAGAACCTCACGTGTCGCTTCATTCAGCTGAGAAAGGAAAATGGGAAGCTGTTCACGGGTCGCAAGTATTCTGCGCAGGCGGGTTGGGAGTAAGTACAAGTAATTAGTATACTGTATATACCAAGTGGAGCTTGCGAGGATTGAACGGCTGCTGCAGCACAAAAGTATATCCTCTGGAAAGAGATCAATTTTTATAAAGACAAGCGTCAAACAATTATCAACCTACGTTCACACTCAATAGAGTCCCTTGCTGCCTTTTTTTTTTAATTAAACAATTTTTCTTCGGTTCCCCTGCCTCTTTTTCCATGAGAGTTCAGGCTCCCTTAAACGGATACTTCATTTCGCATGAAAAGTAGTATCCACAGTGACCACGTAGGACAAAGTCGGCCCCGATAAGAAGAATCTGACGATTGCAAACATCAAGCGCAAACAGAGCCTAGTAGTATGGTCTCACCACCTGATTCATAATCACGCTAGTTTTCCCGATGGCACTCGTTCTGAATTCGAAAATAGTTCACATCTCGCACGCGGTCACCAACTAGGTTCACCCATTCGCAAGTAACACGGGAATAATAACATAGTTGCATAACGCGATAACCCGATGCATCTTGTTCTCATTGTACGCGTATCCGCGTGCACGCTTTACGACACTTATACGCCGCGAAAGAAGTCTCTGCTATCGAGTCCACGAATCGCAGGTTCTCGGATGCTGCGCTTGATGTATATGTAATACACAGAGTGATACGGAATAATATATACAACACTCGTATAACCGGATACCTACTATCAATGCGATACCATTACTAGTCTCAAAGTATAATACGAATAACAGCAAGATATAGAGAGGCTTTCGAGCGCTGAATAAATTATATCTCTTTCCTCGCTATTCTTATAAGTTTCATTTACGACATACATATGTGTATATATACATATATATCAATAATAGAGATGGTATCTGAATCTCAATAATGAAAAAAAAAAAAAAAAAAAAAAAAAAAAAAAAAAAAAAAAAAAAAAAAAAAAAAAAAAAAAAAAAAAAAAAAAAAAAAAAAAAAAAAAAAAAAAAAAAAAAAAAAAAAAAAAAAAAAAAAAAAAAAAAAAAAAAAAAAAAAAAAAAAAAAAAAAAAAAAAAAAAAAAAAAAAAAAAAAAAAAAAAAAAAAAAAAAAAAAAAAAAAAAAAAAAAAAAAAAAAAAAAAAAAAAAAAAAAAAAAAAAAAAAAAAAAAAAAAAAAAAAAAAAAAAAAAAAAAAAAAAAAAAAAAAAAAAAAAAAAAAAAAAAAAAAAAAAAAAAAAAAAAAAAAAAAAAAAAAAAAAAAAAAAAAAAAAAAAAAAAAAAAAAAAAAAAAAAAAAAAAAAAAAAAAAAAAAAAAAAAAAAAAAAAAAAAAAAAAAAAAAAAAAAAAAAAAAAAAAAAAAAAAAAAAAAAAAAAAAAAAAAAAAAAAAAAAAAAAAAAAAAAAAAAAAAAAAAAAAAAAAAAAAAAAAAAAAAAAAAAAAAAAAAAAAAAAAAAAAAAAAAAAAAAAAAAAAAAAAAAAAAAAAAAAAAAAAAAAAAAAAAAAAAAAAAAAAAAAAAAAAAATGTTATAGCCCGGTACTTATTTTCCCAGGACGATTGTCCAGCGCATGCGTTTCATTTCGATCGTTATTACGAATCTGTCTGTAGCAAACGTTGAAACGCAGAGATATGATTTCCGTGGAATAATGAAAAAAACAATTTCAGATTCATCCTACGACAAATGCGCGAGGAGTTTCCCACAATCATGGCTGACGTGCATTACAGGGTGCTCAAGAAGAAGTGGTCAAATTTACTCCAGCAGTACAAAGTAAGGTGACGCACTAGGTGTATTCGGTGTAACCGAGCTGAGCAAAATTTCTAATAAATAATAATTCTTGAAAGGAATTGAAAAATCCAGTACACGGAGACAGGAACAAGGTGGATGACGTATCCTGGCCATTTTATACGGCGATCGACGAGGTCCTTGGATTCGCACAGAGGACTTCCATTCTCGTTGACGACGTAGATGACGGTCCTATCGATCCTCACGAATTTCTCTGCGTATCCGTAACGCCCGACGAGACTGCCTCACCAGACGAGGACATCGACATCGACAAGGATTACAAGGACTGGAAGGATACCAAGGACTCCATAGATGCTCTCCAACGTATTCAGGCTCTACAGGAAGATTGTTACATTGAGATTGAGAAGATCCCGAGGGCACCGAATAATTCAGTTAAAAATTCAAGGTACTAATTATTATATAACCACCTGATTACAGTGCAAGTCATTACCGTAACGGCTGAAGTACGTTCACCGTGTATCCGATGGTAAAGTAAATCCTTGGAGTCACTTTGTATCAGCTGAATGCATCGACTTGGACGGTAAGGTAGAGCGTCAGAATGATTCTCTGCCGTATCCACGTGGACGGTAAGTTACGTACCGGATTTAAAATGACGAAATTCCAGGATAGCAAGTCTCGTGGAATCGAGAAGCTTGCGCGTGAATAAGGACAATCCCGTATCGAGATTACCAAGGGCGACGGAATTGTCCTTGAAGACGGTACGGCCCTCGGCAACGATATCAGTGAAGGATCTGTCCAAGTTGAAGCGCAGCCAGGAAAGTGCATACCAGGAGGAGAATGGCTGCGGCGCAGGTAGCATGGACCAGTGTACCAGGGAACGTGGTAGGAAAGTGAGGAAGGTGGCTGCCGATCGGGATGAGAGTCACGAGTGCGCCACGGAGCGGAGACTGGCGGAGCTTCTGGAATATACGAAAAGACGGGATGAGGAAAATAGAACGATAATGACGAGGATATTGCATGCCGTAGAGAAGATTGCCAATAAGATGTGAAACTGATAAGCCAATAAACGTTCAATACTGCCCAACTGAGATAATGAAAATCAAAAATACGTAAATTTCGTTAATTACGTGCACCGCGGTCTTACCTATGTCGTAGGGGGGTTTGAAAAAGTTTTGTCGTCCGTAATCGTATTTTTTTTTTTTGCTTCATCTCAGCAATCACGTGACCCTAGTCGTAATCGGTTATTAGTATGTACACGATCGAGCGTCAAGGACACAAAATAAGAGTACGAGGTAGAGACGGAGACAGAGGAGTGCGTTGTTCGCGCAAGGAAGCAAGAGGGAGAGACTGAGCGTGAAAATAAATAAGTGAAATAGAGAGAGGGCAGGGAGAGAGAGAGAGAGAGAGAGAGAGAAAGGGAGAAGGGCACCAGGAGAAACAGAGTGAGAGTGGAAGAATGAAATGGAGGGTACGATGCACGTGGCTCGCATCTGCTCCTCTGGCGAGTGACCCTTCGCCTGACCCTCGGCAAGTACCAATAATTAACTCGGCCGACCGCGAGAGCCGGTCCAACGAATAAGCGCTTGCGTCATTCGGGCCGCGTTCTCATGAACGAGCGCGATACCTCTCCATTCAGCCATTCCGCTGGCCATTATTAACAGCCCTACAATCCTCCTCCTATTGTTTTCACTTTGCTAACCGGCAGCATCACCTCGTCCCGTCATCCTCCTCCGCGTACGATCGCATTAGCCACCGTTCGCCCCAGGTAAATCAAACGAATTATTTCTCATTCCCGATCTTCTCTCCTTCGCTCCTTGTTTATCTTTTTTTTTTTTAATTCTCACCCGGCTGCGATCCGCGCAAAAGAATTCCTATTGTAGCAGCCTCCGTAGGAAGTTGGGCCAAATGGACCTGATACACGTGAGAAAGAAGCCGAGGGTTGTTTCAGTTTAATCACCTCTTTTGGATCTTTTTAGGAAAGAAAGAAAAAAAGAAAACTAATACACACTGACCTTTGTGAAATTCATACGTCATTATTAAAAAAAAATAATAATAATAATGAAAACAAATGAAATCTTACGGTTCGTTCCTTTTCTCTGCGTAACAGCATCTATTTTTTGTCCCTCCTTTTCATAACAAACCATGAAAAACACCAAGCCGTAATCAACTGGGTCATGATCTTGATAGGAATTTTCACACTTTCCTTAGAAAATTATCTCACCGGCTCTCTAGGGATCTACGGTTCATTTCTCACAAAGTACTCCGACGAATTGCCCAACGCAATATCCGTTCGCAATACAGTCGAGGCGTGACCTCGAGAGACGGCAAATCTAACGCTAAGTCCTACCAACGTGTATACTCCAAGTACTCACCCTTGTGTCCCACTGAGCCAAGGGATTGCAGCTTTCTCCATCCCTTCAAACCTTTCTTCCACAGCATAACAGCCTTCCCTTTTCTCTGTCCACTGGCGGCTATTAGCTCCGGGGTGCTCGTCCTGCCCAATCCTCTCCTGAGCGATCCCAAGCCAGATCTAGCAAAAGAGACATCAAGTAAATACATACCCTCAATGTGATCCTCTCCCTACGACTTTTTCAGAAATCCCCCTAGCCAGAACTGCCGACATAAATGGTGTTATCGGTACCACTGAATGGAGAACAAAGCACCGACACGTTCCCAGACAGTAAAAATACATTATCTGCATTACAAGAACATTACTCGGACCGCCGGCAAACACGCTGCTTAAGCATCCAATAAAATTCTACTCAGAATCAAATATAACGTCTGCTCTCAACGAACCTATAACTAGCACTTGAACTGCCGCTGAAACCGCTGTCCAGGTCGCAGCCAACAGGCGACAAGAGTTCGTCGGTGGGACCGACGGTGGCCAAGAGTTCATCGACGGATACTTCAGGATGACTCGGAGCTGAATCAACGTCGGTACCAGGGCTTGGCATCAACATAGCCTCCACGCTGAGATTCAATTCCCCCAATACTCGACGATGACGTGACTGAACTCTTCGCACTTCCTCCTCCAGAAGGTTGCGCCGGGTACCCTGCGCTCTGCGACATTGACGGCTGTAAAGTAACAAGTGAACCGATTATTATTATTATTCCATTTATTTGCCCTGCTATCGCCACCCTATCGCCACTGGCCACCGATAACCCTGGTCCCGCAGAAAATCCCCATTGTGGAAGTGCACGCATCATCCTGAACAATGCCGTGTCTCTCCTAGAGCGAACTGGACTGATAGGATTCTTGGAACAAAGTGAGAGATCACGCGTACACCACAAGGGTTCAAAAGAGTGAGGCCAAGTGACGCGAGACCCTAATTACAAAATACAATCAGCTCTTATCACTGACAATATTAGCTGGACCAAGAGGCCGGTACCTGAGTTCAGAGATTTCCTCATAGATATTCTCCTCGGTACCATATCGCGTCACGTAAGTATGACGTTTCAGAGGTTCAGGTTCTCGAGGTGGAGGCTGTTCGGGTAACAGAGGTCGATGAAGACGACTGGGTCCTGGTTCATAGTACGCGTAGGAGTAGTCCTGATGATGACGCGTGGATGACGTAGAAGGACTCGCCTCTACGACGACTGTAGGGGTGATCTGTCCTAGTGGAGGCGGATACGGTGGTGGCGGTGGAAACTCCAGGTTGGCTCGTCGGGGTCCTGGAGCCAGACCTGGAGGACCCGCACCCAGGGACGAGGCCATTGATCATCCTTTTCTCATCCTAACGAGATAGCCTTGCTTCCTTTTTTCTTCCTCTTCCTTGATCAATCCTTGGTCGCCATCACTGTAACATTGAGGTTATGAATGTGACTTTTTTTTTTTTGATTGAGACTATTTTTTAAATATTATTATTCGCTATTAAACAAAAGCCGGTCGTTGAACTTTCAATTGACAACTGTAATCGTGTAGAAAATTCCTTACTGCCATTAATACTTTTCTTTACTGGGTTTACATTCAACAATTCTTATGGCACTGCGTGCACGTACTATTTACACAGTCTATGAGAGACCATTAAGAGACATTAGCATTATTGAGGCAATAATTGTGTGTGCCGATAAAGGGACCCTATCGTGACTAGTGTACCGGAACCGTATAATGGTACTTGACTAAATTCTTCAAGAGTGTACAGCGTGGATACAATTTTATTCTACGACTATAGAGGAACCTTATAGTATTTTATACACCTTGACGGCTGTACGGTTTAAGCGTATCGAATGAATATCAGGTTGAGGATTTCGATTGACATTATTCCGAGAAGAATGCATTGACAAAAAATGTCTCCAAAGTACCAAACCCAATTTACCAGTGTCGAGAGGAGTCGGAGAGAAGATTGACCAGTGGATCCTGTGCAAGCGGAAGCCGATTGCGGAAGGAGGACACAAAAATCAGAAAGGAAGACTACAGCGATAAGATATGCCAGTAGATAAGAGTAACGACGATACAGGGGGGAAAGAAAAAACAGGTGCCCTGAATCAACCAGAAAGGAACAGTTCACAGTCTGAAATTATTCTACACGTCTCATATCCTGCATGGGAATTTGAGGGTACGGCTTTAAATCGAGCGGTCGACCCTGCCTTAATGACTTCCCTGAGTCAATTATATGGCCGATGCCCGCATCGGCTCATTACTCGTTACGCAAAATGAATTACCGAAGGGAGCCTTACTAGAGAGACGATAAGACATAGGAAGACCTTGACGGTACCATATGTCCAAAAGAGGTTAGAGATTGTAATCGATTGAAGAAAAAAGAATGGCGTACTTACTTTGTAGAGAAAAGAAAAACTAGGTAAGATTTGTAATATTGTTTTTTTTCATAAATTTATAGGAACGTATTTTCAAGTCTATTTGAATTTCAATAGTATAATATTGCTGCCTGTAACGACGTATACAAATACCATAGACCATATTAATTTACAGGTAACTCAATAGAGATTCTCTGATAATCCCTATTTCGAAATAATTTTTTTTATTTTCATCAGACAGCCAATATTTCTCAGATATGTGTAGGTATATAACGTCTCGCTCCCTCTGGCTTGTGTCAATGGTCAACGTTTATTATTAGCCTACCGGCAGATGTAGAATGTGAGCATAAGTATGTATATATTATTAGAAATGATTTTTGAGAAGGAATTGCGCGCAGGGCAGGACATTCAGGGGGGGCCATTTTGTTGCGACAACGAAATATGCGCCCGGGCCCTTCTAAACGGCGTGTTTTGTCTCGTTACGACGCGGTTGGGAGGGCGAGTGGTATTTCTGTTTCGCCGGGCGGAACCCCAAATTACTTTTAAAGGGTCTCCTGGGGCCCTGAGGAGTCTGCTGTCCCATTGGAAGGGACTCTGTCATTTGGAGGACCCGTGCTTCTTATTTTTCCTTTTCTTTTTGTTTTTCTACTTCTCTACGTCACTCTTTCTAAATCCTGCCGGCCACTATGCACAATTCTTCACGGTTGCTTTACGGTAAAAATATTACACTGACTTCTCCACGTGTCTCTGGGCTTCCAGTTTTTTACAGGGACGTTACGACAGACGTCGATTTTTGTAATGGCTCCTAGGAAATTTTTCACAATGCCAGTCTTATCTTTTCTATTGGATCTAAATACTTATAAAGTCTCTCAGACCATTTCCAAGAGGGTGTCCTTCTGTCATACTCAGGTGTGTCAATTCAAACGAACCTATTGAAGTCTTCACGGCTGAACGTGTCTATAACGTTAATACGGTCCTGAACAGAATACTAAGCAGTAAATAGAAGAGTGACTCGTTTCGTGGATGAGAAACATAAAGGATGCTTCAAAAAGATTGCTCTTTGCCTTCTTTTTATTTGTTGCACCTGCAAGTTGATTCACGATGGCTTAAAGTACACGTATACCATCCTGGTTCACCAGAAGGACTTATTGCTGTGCTTTTTCTATCTACCTGGCAATTCCAATGAAACGGATTTTTTGTTTCCCGGTCAAACATTAAAGTTAAATTTAGCCACTTGGGCGACGTCTCGCGTGGATTTTGAATGTCTGACCGCCAAAAGAACGCACCCGGCACTTGTGACAAACTTCAACGGAACGCGGTTTATACAGCGGCAACAAAAATACTAAGAAAAACTCTCTTGAGGAGACTCACCAGTAACCGTTCCTAGTCCCAAAGGGAAGATTCCACTTGAGAAAGATACATTGCCCACACACAACGTCAATAAGTAACGGAGTCTCGAACAGTAATGTATTTAACTACTTTAAATTCTTATTGATAACTGACGAAATTTCCACACTAAATTAAAGGCGAATAACAGGGGTAACTTTCTTCTATTAAATAGTTTGGCGTTCGCCCATTGTTGTAGGCGCGCACGCCCTCTTGGACCGGTCAGCCGTGTAAAGAAGAAGAAGAAGAAGAAGGAAAATCAGAGTAGTAGGATGCTTGCTTTCTCCCTACTCTCTTTCTTACTGTGTACAGTACGAAAACAAATTCTCGTCAAACACATTCACTTGATAACAATGTCAAACAGTATTAGGAAGCAAACACAGATGTAATTTCTTACTAGGAATTTAGGCACATAACACACCACTGTGGAGACGCTGGAATGGCAAGTCTCGATCCCGATCGATAAAAGATTGCCGCGTTGCTACGACACACTCCCTTCGACGGTTCGGACTGCACTGGTTGTTGACTGAGACGCGAACCGGCCGCGCCGCCTTGCGGACACTCAACTGAGTCTCGTAGTATCGTTCGGCTAAACTCGCCAAGACTCGCGTCCCATTGTTTCGGGATCGGAACGGCACCAGAACTTCACGACACGAAAAGGTTATGGGTTAAAGGTACTCTCACACTGAATTACATACAGTTTCAGATGTCTATAGACACTTATTGATGCTGCACACGAATATAGACGATACGGTAATACCTGAGAATTCTTTCTTGAGACGAATGCATTTGTGACGGCAATTTAAACGAAGCAGCAGACTCGATGCTGGTTCGACAATTGACTTCGGCGGTTTAGCTAGAAGTGAGGGTGTAATGGCGTCAGAATGCAACGAGTTACCTATGTTTTTTTTTACAAATTGCATTAAAAATTAATGTTACGCGAGTGTTATTTTATAGAATTTTCATCGATTGATGAATAAGAATGTTTAAATCATTGGAGGAGCTTTGTGTATTTAAAGAATGGTTGGTTCTGGTGGAATTTTTGAGTTTGTTATAGATAAGGCAATTTTTGGAGTACCTCTTGAATAAAAGAGAAAAAAAGTGCGTTTAAACTAATCATAAGCAATGCTTGTGCTTCCGATGATGTAACTTACTGAGGCATTTAAGCGACCTGTTAATCTTGCTGGTTCACGTATGCGAGTAGAGAGAGGATTAGAGAGAATGAGAAACTGTGGAACTGATTTAGAACTGAGGACCCGTTGATTTATCATCTTGACGCTAACATATGTGGAAAGTTCGAATATGGCTTCTCTCGCACTACGGAAGATTAATTGACAGTAGATAGTGGATCCAAGGGTGTTATAATCTTTGGAAAATCAAAAGGAGACTATATTCACTTTCAAGTGCATCAGGTGAAAGGATCCGGAATGCCGTTTTGCTGGTGGATAAGGAAGCGTCGCTCACGTATAAATCGAGCTCGAAGACTAATTCAAGTTTCCCGCTGTTCAGGAAGAATTAATTATCATCCTGATACGCCTGCTACGATGATTTGTGCGACATCTTGCCACGGGAATATGATGAAATAACGAATAAATTCTAGAGAAAGTATCCATTGGTACAGCCAGCTTCAATGTTTTCGAACACTAACGTAAGTCTTATTTAAATTTTTACAGGGTACTCTGATTGTTGTCGTCAATTTATTAAATAAATTGATACAGCAATTTTCAAATAGAATAATGATAAGAACAATATTCAGTGTTCAGCATCTGCTGACACAGCATTGTCAGAGAACGTTGCTCCAAGGCCCAACTGCTTGGAAATATAAATTGTACTTATGTTCGTGCCAGTAAATCTAATAAATACATTTGCCATTTACATATTTCCTTTCAATATGAAGTGTGCTCTATCAGGAGAATATAACAGTATCGTTTAGAAATAATACAATAAGACGCATCGATAAGGTCTAAGAAATTTTCGTTTGATTCAAATAAGTTTTAAATACCTTCTAACCCCATTATAACCTCCTAATTTTAGCTTTGATTCTGTACCGGAAAATCTTAAAACTGACGTACTTTCCGGTAGAGACAGCGGGAGGTGTCGTGCCACTTCCTTCCCGGTAATGCTCGCTTGATACAGAACTCAATTTTAGGCCGTAAAATTCCAAAACTCTGTTTCATGCCATTGGATCCATTCGTCGTAAAAGCGCCATCTCCTAATCCTTCATGTTCTCCCGATAGAGAGTTCGATTTTAGGCCGTAAAATTTCGAACTACACAGGACTTTCCTGTAGAGCCGTGTAGCGGGACTGCGTGCCACCTCCTAACCCCTGATGTTTCACTAATAGTAAACTCGATTTTCGATGGCAAAATCATCGTCGCTCTCGGAATATTTCTCTCGATACCGATGTATTTTTAGTATTTATTCAATACGACAACAGCAACAATTAATGCGTATTAGACAGCACGAGCAGTTGCATCATCGTGGTTAATACTTTAATTACGTAATTTAAGAATACGTTAAAGACATGCATGATACAATTAGCTGGAGGCCCACTTCGAGCATTCCGACCTGCGAGAACTCACGAACGATTCAAGAATTATTTTTTATTTATTTCAAATCCTAAACTTCTACATTGAATTAACGGCTCGGTAAGTTATGAGATTTTTAAATAAAAAATTGTTCTCTTCTACATTCTTCGTAAGAAAATGTCATTTCAAATTGTTTTTTTTTTATTTAACGTAATTTATTACCTATACAATGAAGCGTATTGAAACTTAAAAAAAGGTAAAAGTACTGTTCGTTTATCTAATAAAGAAATGTGCGTAAATGAAAATTTTTTCATAATTAAACAACAAGATGTATAGTCGGTCCACGAGTTCAATGTGTTTTTTATTTAACAGTCATCCAGCAATACAATTCTTAATAAAATAACACGTGGTTTTCTATGAAATTACATAAATATATGCTGAAACAGGGGAAAAAATATATCCAGTGCAAAATGATGTGTATGCATAAGTTTTAGCAAACATTCTATACAGTGACAAGACTATCAGTGTTTTTGATATCTCAAAAAAAAAATCAAAACTCATGAACCGACTATACATATATCCTTATGATTTACAACGTGAAAAATATCAAAGTCCAAGTATGATATTGGCAACTACCAAGAAACGTAATGGCGGATAAATAATTTTATTTAAATAATTATTAAGAAATGCAGTTTTTTCCGGTATAAATTGTCAAGCGAATGATTGAATTTATCTTTGCTCTCAGGATTCTTTGGGTTATCAAGGTATATGCAAGAATTGTGATAAAAGTATCTATTGTTGATATCACCTCCGAATTTTTGTCAACCAAGTATAAACGTTCACTGTCAAAATAACATTTATTAGGTAACAATAATCTCTGCCTTAAAAAATATTTACCATCACCAAAGGGTTTATCAGTAACAGTAGTTATGACTAGATAAAAAAATGAAAGTAAAAATCATAGACTATAGACTTTATGAAGTCTGTATAAAACTGATATACCTTGACTTTCACGTAGACTACTGGAAATGGGTTATCACTTAAGTCGTCGATTTCAGTTGTTTATACAGGATCATTCAAAAGTAATACACTTATTGTTAGTAGAGTTAATTCATTTATTTGATCTGTAGAGTATAATCAATGATACAACAGTCATGAATAATCACACAGCTGATTATTCACAAAGGAATATTGAATTGACAACTCTTATCAAGAACTGTTATTAGCCAATTGGCACTGACAATATTTTGGCAACCCAGCAGTTTGTTCAGTCAGGATGACAATATAGCTTGATCTGCTAACGAGGTTGAGGTTATCATTAACCCTGCTGATAAGAGCAGCAATGTTGAGTGTAACTATTTTGTCTTGCATCAGTATCCATTTGCTTCTTGCCAAGAGACATTGTGGAACATTGAAGTTCGTGCATTCCCAATTGTCATACTGTATCACCTAAAAAGCATAATTTTAATTAGAAAAATAATTACAGGAAAATCTTTTGGAATTTTATTTGAATAAAGAAATCAAGATGTCATACGGTTGGAAGGAATACGCAGTGGAGCTGGAACCATCAAAGGAGCTTTTGAAGCCACTGGTAGTCCCGGTTAAGACGTTAATGGCACCAGGGCCCAGTAACTGTTCAGAAAGAGTCCTGAAGTCTTTGCAGCACCAACTCCTAGGGCACTTGCATCCGGAAACCCTAAAGGTAATATCAGTATGTTTATATAGATTCTGATTTGATTCATAATTCTTGTTATTATACCTTTTCAGTTGATGGATGAGATCAAGGCGGGTCTCCAATATGCCTTCCAAACTAAGAATACCTTAACGTTAGCCATTAGTGCTTCAGGACACGCAGGTATGGAAGCCTCACTAGGTAATATTCTTGAACCTGGTGAAACGGTCCTTATAATCAAATCTGGAGAGTGGGGTAGCCGTGCAGCGAACATGTCAACAAGACTAGGAGCACACGTGAGTGATTGTTGAGTCTAAAACTGTGACAGGTGATAATACATATACATATACTGTACCAGGTAGAATATTTGGAGACTGAACTAGGGGTACCAGCCACCCTGACTGATCTGGAAGCAGCTCTGCAGAGACACCGTCCTGCAGTAATTTTTCTAGCACACGCTGAATCATCTACAGGAATGAAGCAACCCGTGGAAGGTATCGGTCCACTGGCTCATAGGTGAGATTACGTTAATATTATAATTAATATTGATTTAATAAAAGTTTTACATAGTTCTAAACCTTTTCAGATACGGAGCCCTTCTGATAGTCGATACTGTAGCATCCTTAGGTGGCGAACCGTTTTACGCCGACAGCTGGGCCGTGGACGTGGTTTATACAGGAAGTCAGAAGGTCCTGGGAGCACCTCCAGGAATCACTCCCATTTCCTTTAGCCCCGCTGCCGAGTAAGTAGACCTGGACAAAGTATTAGACGACGTGACAGGATCTCCTGGGTAAAAGCATTAAGTCATCGACTACCTATACTGCATACCCAATTGATTCTGAGTTCATCCAAGTCTCGATGATGACTCCGATGATGTCTCAGCGTGCGCTGCTCTGCATACTTATACGATCCTATTGCGTATCACTTCTGCAACTTAATTAGACCTGAATATGTCAGTCGTCTGCGAATCGTTCGTGTCCAGGATTCAATTGTAAATATTGTTTGATCAGAAAGAAGATATTCCAGCGTCGTACACAAGTCCCGGTATTGTATTGGGACATGACAGTCCTTGGAAGATATTGGGGATGCTTCGATGGGCCCAGGATGTATCATCATACCATATGTGCCACTTTGATCTATGGACTTCGAGAAGCCTTGGCACAGCTGGCTGAGGAGACCCTTCCGGTATCCTGGATGAGACATAAGGCCGCCGCGCTGAGACTGGAGGAAGGTCTTCGTAGACGCGGATTGGAATTATATATATCTAATCCGCAGCATCGTCTGGTTACGATTGTGCCGATAAGAATTCCTGAAAATATTGAACTCCAACTGGTTATCGAAGAAGCCATGAGAAAGTAATAACACCAATAACATTTCACATACCGAGAACCCATGCTCCAGAATATCCACCTTATCAAACGTGTATACTTATTTTTCCAGGCATAAGGTTGAACTTGCAGGTGGTCTTGGGCCAACCTCAGGTAAAATCATGAGGATGGGGTTGATGGGAGTGAACGCTACTCCTTACCATGTGGATTTGCTCCTGAACGCACTGGACGATGGACTTAGATACGCTCGGCTTGTTAAAAAATCAAAAATCTAATGAACTACGAATATCATTCCAAAAGCTACGCAATACATATTAGAAGTATTTCTAAAATGACTATAAAATCTATTAAAATAAAACGCAGTGTTAAAAATACTATACGAGATTATCGTGTGACGATTAAAAATAAATATGTGTAAAAGATAAGAAAATGTGATCCTCCCTTCGTATGAACGCCGTAAATCATAGCGAAGAAAATAGTCGCTGCAAGTCTGGTTGCAGTCGTACAGGCGCATCCCTAATACGACTCAGTACTTCGGATTGCCGGTTAACAGGCGCAACGCGTAACCCCTGAGATTCAGCAACGTCTTGTCTATTAACGATTTAACGATAAAAAAAAGTAAAAATTGTCAATTGATTTTGCCAATAACGCATACATTAAATTTCATTTATTTATGGAAAATACTGAAATCGGTATACACATCCTTCTAACATATAATAGCGTACTCGCGTCAGATACCGTTACGATTTATTATTACATTATTAGCAATATCAACAAGGTACATTAATTAATTATCTCGATACAATGCAGTTACGATGAGCTAAGTTTCGTAGATAACATATATAATTCGATATTAATAATCGTTTAATTGATAACGTTTTGGCACAGTATAGAATAGCATCAGTTTCCCTTAAGATTCAACGTGTAGTTTTACTCACTCTTGTCATATTCTCACGTTCTCTCTCTCTCTCTCTCTCTTTGTTCCTCTCTTCCTTCTTCTTACCTTCTATAATTCCCACACTCTTTCCCTTTCACACACCCATTCGCTCCAATCATATTCTCTCTCGCTCGCACGCATTACTCGCAAGCTCTTAGCTACACGTTCGCAAACAAAAAATACAAAAGTCTTAACAGTTATCGCGTTCATATAAAAAAAAAATTTTCGCCATACCCCCACGGCTCGAAGTCATCATCCTCGTCATCGGCGTCATCCCCACGTCATCGATTCAGAACATAACAAGTGCGCGTATCTAACGTGTACATTAATATCATATGTCCTCAGGCCGTGCGGGCAGCTTAAATAACATTAATAGTACAATAATAATAATAATAACTATCGTTAATGCGTATGTATGTACAAGTTATTAATAATCAATTTTTCTAGTCTAGCAAAGACGAGTAAGACTGACTGCGCGAATGACAAAGGCACTTATAGCAATTGATCATCTGCCAATCAATTACGACTTATGTTATCAAGAAAGGTCAGAAACCCTTTAGAAAAAATATATATATATAATATATGTAGAACGACCGTCAATCGTGCGTCGTCCCTCCTCGGAGAGAAGACCTTCTCTGCTGGCCATCCGAACTTCCCGGCTCCTTCATTTAGACTAGACGACGATGCAGACCCATTTCTTAATTCCCTTTACACTCTACACGCGGATAATTTTCCCTTTTTTTGCGCACTTCTAGTCTCCCATACATTTTTTCTTTCTCTCTGGCATTTCCCGTACTTTTCATTATCTCGCTCTCTCTCTCTCTCTCTCTCTTTCCCTCGCTATTTCTGACCTCGCGTACATCCAAATTGCGAATGTAGTTCGAACGCAGGTCGTTAATACCTACACTGTCGCGTCCTATACGATTACGTGAACTTAAGAGCTACTAATAAATACATTGAGTAGTGATAAACTTATTAAATAGGCTCGAATAATAAAATAAAAATTGATAATACAGATCGGTACAGTGCGAATCTTTAAAAATCCTGGCCAACGTTTCGCGAGGGTGTAGGAAGAAAGTGGGAGTGAAAGTTGGCGAAGGTAAGGAAGCAGGTTAATAGAGAGGACCCATGGGTAGTGAAGGATAGAGAAAGGAGGGAGAAAGAAAATAAAAGTGATAATCGCATCGGGCCAGGGTCAAAGGTTGTCCTCGCGAGTACCGGCCTTGAGTAAGGCACGTAGAAGAGTGGCAATGGTGCATGGCGGTAGTTAATTAGAGGTTCGATTCGCGATTGATGATTAAACGGTAATTAGTCGACGGAAGACAAGAGACGGGTCGCGGTTTTGTTAGCGCGACGGATATGGACGAATGGGCGTCGCGACGAAAGCCTAAGACGTCGTCGTCGAGGTTCTTCAGTCTTCTTTGGTTGATGGGTAACTTGGTAGAGTAGAAAATTGTCCTGATGATTTTTACTTTTCATTCTCTTCTTTCTTCTTCTTTTTCTTTTTCACTGACGGGAAGTTGACTGCTGGTCGATATCGAATAGGATGTTTTTATTTTCCTTATCTCGTAATCAGCCACTCGATTAAAAATGATCCGACACTGCTGCTTGTTGATCTGCTACTGTTCCTGTTTACGTTGCTCTTCGCTCAGTTATTCCTGCTGTTGTCGCTACTGGTGGGAGTAAAGGGTGGGTTTTCTACAAGTGGCCGACGGGGCCGCAGTCGAATCGCCGGCTTCCGTTCTCCTTCTCGCTAATTAAAGCCAATTGATTAATGAACGTCTGCGGACCCATCCGAGCCGAAGTCGGATCGATCCGTCCTGGTACGCGGCGGAGCGATCTTGTCATGGTGGCAAGTCTGGACTGGAGAACATCATGGCTCAGCTTAGTTCGCGAGGAGTCACCGAGTGCTTCCCGTGATGCTGGTGCTGATGCTGATGTTGCCTATGATGACGACGTGCACGTCGACATTGACTCGTGCAGCAGTCGTCGGTCTCCGCTATTAAACCGCCACGTCGTAGCTGCTGGGCTATGCTGTTGCACAACGACCTGGGACAACGTTTCCTGTCGCACCTAACCTCACCGTTCTGCAATTAAAGATAGCACTGATCAGACCATGTATTTCATATAATTATTTGTCAGCAACATGAATGCACTATTGATTTCCAAAACAGTTGATCCAGAGGAACACGAAGTGAGACAATCGTCCCTCATTGAGTCCTCTGGTCGACGCGTCCCAGCGCCACGTCTTCGCACTGACATTGAGACGTGGAAATTTCTGCCTTATCGGACTGCTAGATTACTCGTGTTTATCGGCAGGCATCGTGTGTGCATGTGGATTACACGGCTTAATCCCCTGCGAACCGACTGGGAAGTGTGTAGGCAATGTGCGCAACGCAGCATCCCGTTGTCGCTCCGTTACTGTTTACGGTGTGTATTTCTGTCTGTGACCGTAACGTCACGCAAACGCCGCGAGACGCTGACTAGACATTTTTCGTGGGTAAGGGCTTGAGACAAGAAGAGAAATTCTCATGGTATCAGCCTCTAGAGATACGTCAATTAGCCAAATAGGAAGTAGTAGATTTTATGAGGCATCGATTTACCTTGCATCGACACTTGACGCACTTCATCTCGCCATGGGAATGCACTCGAGGATGCCACTCCTTTCCATTCTCATAGGGACCACCCAGAGGATACTTGCAGCCACCTGCGGCTAAGATCTCCTCGGATGATCTCTTGGTTGACGCTGCTGCTTCATCCCTGGGTAACATGTCTCCCATGGTACCGGTTACTGGGATAACTGTTGGACATTGCCTGCAGCAAGCTTTTTTGTCTGGTCTGAATGCTAATTTCTGGTCGCAGTCCAGTGTCGGGCACTGTACCCTGGGGCATTTGACCTCTAGAGTACTTGGCTGCAAATGATTGAAAATACGTTAAATATTGTCGATAAGCTTTATTGATCAATTTAATTAGATGAATTGAGAGACTTACGTCGCAAGTGCATACGGCACAGGTGTCGAATCCTGCAGGAGGCAAATAAGGGTGCCAACTGGCTCCTGCTAAATGAAATTGACCAGCCAGTGTGCAGCCCTTGGTAGTAGACGTGATGTTCTTGGTACCGTTACTGTTGCCTATGATAATTTCAACCAGTTTTATGAATTTTATAAAAATCCTTACTCCCTTAGAAAATTAATGACTACGCAGTGGATACTTACTGGTACAAATGGGACAGCAGTGTTCAGGCCCAGCCTTAACTTGCTGCGAAGTCGGACAGGATAATGGTGGACAAGGTACAGGATCGCATTGCGCCCTTCCTCTGTAACAGTGGCACATGGAGCAAGGATCCAAATTCGCCGTCCATTGGGTGCCCTCCTCGTAGAACCTCGTCTCATGGAAACAAGCGCCCATGTCGAATTCCGACCTGGGTGGCTGAAGGTTGTAAGCCACTACGGATGCTACGTCATTGTCGGCATAGTGTGGCAAACAGCTAAGAGGTACTCTGGTCCTGAAGGAGGTCTTCAGGAGTCTTCCGGTATCCTTATCGTCTACTTCAAGGAAACCGATACCAGAATCGATCCTGTACAACTCCACAGGGGACAGACCAGTAACCGAACCTCCCAAAACAGTCCCAGTGAACTCTTCCAGGAGTCTCCTGTATACCGGTGCACCCTGAGCCAACAGAGGTAAAGTCTCGAGATACAGTTTAAGAGGTTTGTCAGTGGACAATCCTGATATTTCAAGTTCATAATGTAGAGCACAGTCCAGATCGATAGCTGCCCAGACCAAGCCTATGGGTCCATTCGAAACAGGTTCCTGCTCAAAGCGACGAAGAAGAACAGGCGCTACAGTGTCTCTGGCATCGGCGACTGGTCTCTGTACAAGACGTCCACGTAGCAGCGAACCCAAATGCGAGGCAGCTACCACTGACAGCTCTCCCTTGAAAAGAGGTTCCAGAAGACGAGGACCTGGTCGCTCCAATGATCCATTGGCAAAGTTACCGAACAAAGTCGGTGTCAGATCCTCCAGTTCCAGGCGACGTTTCCCACCTTCGTCCACTAGAGTAACCAGAGGACTCTCTTCCTCCAAACCCATCAGGTTGACTCCGTATCTGAAAAAATGACTTTTTCAGGTCTGAACTAACTTAGAGGAACTAAACGTATCACGATCACAGTATTTCTAGTACCTCAAGGCTCCAGTGCGGTCTAAGAAAGCCCAAGCTAGACCAGCAGCAGTGGACGGGTTCTCACTGGACAGAAGTGTCTGGTACATGTCGCAGGTTACCCTGGGACCTACGACGCCACTGAGTCTCAACGCCTGAGGGTCCTTTTTGGACATTATACTGATCACGAGTTTTCCTCTGGTGAGTAACCTAAGATCAGCTCCAGACAAGGCACTTCGGACTTCGCCAACGTTCAGTTCGTTAGATGGTTTCTTAACGAAGATCTCCTCCCGCAGTACAACATAATCCTTATCCAGATGGTCCAGTTGCACGACAATAGGAACCTCAGCTAGGTCGTTCGGAAGAAACACTCCGTTGAAGACAAGAGATATATGTACCGACGGAGCAGATGCTGATGACGCAGAGACAATGGCAGTAGCACCAGCACCAGCCATGAGTGACCTGTCTACCCCCAAGGTGGGTTCCAAAAGTGCTGAAAAGTGTTCCGACGACAGCGCCCTGTACCTGGCCAGCTGTCCGGTCAGGGTAGCCGAAGGTTCCCAGCTGAGAGCCACGTGGAGTCGCTCCTCCCGAAGAAGCTTTCTATAGTCCCTCGGCACTCTCCTCCATACACCACACAATTTCCCCGTGGCATTCTGATACACACCGCCGACGGGATTGATGGTCTGCTCCTCGAGGATGCTGCCGGAAGTGTCCACGAACTGCAGACTTCTGGGTCTGGGTGTGGACGCCGACAGATAGAACGAATAATAGAGATTCTTTCGGTGAAAGGTGAAGCGACCAGTGGCCAGGTAATTGTAAGCATTGTTGAAAGTCGAGGAGGGCGTCAGGTCGTCCCGACGTAGAGGAAGCGAGGTGCGACCGGAGAGCAAAGTGGCGAAGTCTGGAAACGTATACGCGGTCACATTCGAATCTCAGCGAATTCTCAGGCTCATGTGCGTGGGGGTCGTCGCTCTATGAGAGCAAGGCCTTAATGCTACTCACGTTTCAGGCTGCGTTCCTCCTCATCCGTCGTTAGCTGCGCAGGTAGATCCTGAACGAGCTCCGTGCCTGAAAGAAGAACAGGAAGAGGTTGGAACGTGAGAAGAAGAGAAGATAGAGTCGAGATAGATCGGGACAGAGTGGTCCACGAGGACAACAAGAGAAGGATCCCCCCTCTTCATCCATCGGGGTTAAAATATCATGGCGGACTAGAGCAAAGTAGATTAGGTACCCAGTGGCCGAGAGGGGCGACGGGCACTGCGGAGCAGAGTGGGTGGTGGGTGATCGTCAGAGTGGGAGCTGGACGAGGAGGTTGAGGATGTGGAGGATGAGGAAGATAGCAGCAGTCGCCAGGAGAGCCATTCGGCCCGTCTGCCGGCCAATAAACAATACGAGTACGAGAGGAAAGAGTCGACTGGCGCCGGGCGTCGCTGCTTTGAATGTTGCCTTTATGGCGACGGCTGGTCGGGGCTAGGTGGCTTCTGCCGCAAGAGTGAGATCATACGATCGAGAGAGAGAGAGAGAGTTAACGTGAGAGTGAGAGTGAGAGAGAGAGAGAGAGAGAGAGAGAGAGAGAAGGAAGGGTTCGGTATAGAGCAAACTCGAGTTTCAAATTGTAATTCAAAAGAAGCGAAACTCGTGCGTCGTCAATGTGGCGCTGCCGTGTCAGAAAATAAAAGTCTGACCTTACGCCCGGTTCCATTAGTAAGTGACATTAGAATCGGACGTGAAGAATGACGGATCCCAGCGACCCCGTACGCGTCCAGACGAGGCCATTAGACGTCGCTGGCTTTAACCTCCGTCCGTCGTTTATCCATTGACAATTTGGAAATGACCCTCGGCTCAATGTCCCGACTGTTCGTCGTTCTTGACAGTCCAGCGGAATTTTACATCGCCGAAATAGTCCGAGTAACGTATTACGAGCATCCACTAAAGTGGCTAGAGACACGTCGGACACTAAGAATATTACAAAGAGACCAATTCCTCGGTATAGCCGGTTACATTTACGATACCATAACGGCGGCTTGGCCGAGTGCTCTGCCGACAAATGGAATTTTCATATTGTAATGCCAACTCTCTTTGCCGCGTACCGACAGGGCAAAACCCCTCCCGTGAACGGAGTCAAAGTACTGGAGTAACTTGTCCGGTACGTCATGTCGAGTAATATGACCTTAGTCGGGGAGCAACGTCGTGGATCCAAGATCCAAATGGATCTCATGAGATTCTCAAGTGGAGGACGTCGATTGAAATGGATCGTAATGGATTGTAATGGCAGTGTACGGCCGCACGGAGGTACACCCGAGAATCTTTCTCTCCTTCTTCTATCTTCGCGTTTATCACCTCCCCCCGCGCCCCACCCGCCCCGGTTACCCGCGCACTGACCGACGTCGAGACGGCTGACCGCACGCTGATTTCTTCTACTTCGACCTCAGGGCCGGCTCCCTGATTTCGCTGCGTTATGCCCGATCATTACGTATGCTAATATTTACATTTAGATTGCGCGGCTTAATCGAAGTGACGCCATGCGGTAATATAGCCGGCGCCATGGCGCTAAATCGTGGCGCCCGCTGATCCCCCCCTCTCTCTCTCTCCTGCCATTCTCATAATTTCCTCCCTCGCGTATTTATCACTCCCTCTCTCTCTCTCTCTCTCTCTCTCTCTCTCTCTCTCTCTCTCTCTTTCTTTGAGCCTGTTACGTTGGCACTATACGTCATACACGTTATGCATTGCATGAACAACTAGATGGCTTTGCCTTACTCTTTGCCATATGTACAATTATATGCAGCGTATCTTCCAACTTTTTTTTTTTTTTTCTAACCAAAATGGACGACGATTTATTTTTCACTGAAAAATTTTCACGCAGGATCCACTTAAAAAATTTTTTTTTTCCTATCAAAATCCATTAGCTATATGCTGACTATTATACAGCGTATATTTTGAAATTGTGCGAGCTGGAATTTTCGGGCATACAGAAAGCACGTGATGCCCTAGGCGTCACGACGGCGACGGGCGTCGCCACGAATTTGATTCTACAACAATTTCACGTGATCGCATATATATATATTTTTACGCGACACAAATATTTTTCGGAATTCGAATATCAGGCACGGATGTCATTACGAATACAGATCAAGATGGATCGAGCGCGTCGGCAGTTATCGATTATTGACTATAACGTGCGATTAGCCTACCGATAGAGTGGCACGATTATTACCGTGACATTCGTGATAAGAGTAAACGATTAATAGCCGTAAGGAAAAAAAGAGAAGGAGCCGAGAAGAAAAATTTTCCAAAAATCACACCCACTGCCAATGGCACTGAGGTGATAAAAAAAGAAACTTACTGAAATCACCAGGACATGATTTACAGCATCTTCCCGGTAGCAGTACGGGTTCCTCGCAATTAGGCTTGGGACATTCGTTTTTAATATTGCGACACTGTACCCTGGCGACGATACGTCTTTTCTTCTGTATCTGTAATCAGACAATTTAATAGGTCAATTAAATGATTGATTAGATATTCATCTATGCGCCTTATAAAGTATCGAATGCATATATAATTTATATCACTATATATGTATATCGATTAAATGATTCCATACCATAATGGCCATATAGTCCATATATCATTATACATGCCAAGGTATATCGTATCGCTTACATAGGTACGGAAATACGCGCGTGCGGTCTTCCCGAGAGCAAAAGACCGTCCCTCTCGGAGTTCTGACTCAGCAAAGCAACTCGTTCCCTCATCCCCAGGGAACCCGAACCTATCAATAGATCCTCATACGCGAAGCGCGTCTGTCATTCCTCGAACTTCTAAAAATACACGAGAGCAACTTCTCCGCCCGTACTCCTCTCCTCAGCCACCTATAGCGGGTACGGCTTGACTTACGATCGGTGCAATGCCACCGACAGTCACAGAAACAAGTCTATAGAATCGAATATACATATATATAGTAACACAATAAAACCAGCTGATCGATGCAACCTATATAACCGAGTACCACCCAAACCCATGAGAATTGAGGAAATCGAACCAATGCAAATGTGCAGATGCCAGCTGCAATAAAATTGCATAATTAAATTTAAAAAAAAAAAAAAAAAAATTAAATCGAACCAATGCAAATGTGCAGATGCCAGCTGCAATAAAATTGCATAATTAAATTAAAAAAAAAAAAAAAAAAATTTATCCAATAGCGCCCGGTATACGCTCGAATCGTTGATACACAACGTTACATATATATATATATATATATGTGTCAAATATGAAATAAAACATATTTAATTATCGTTCAATTACGTGAATAATCACGAGAACGTATACCGTGTGTACCGAAGTCACGATTAGGCTTATAATCAACCGGCAGCAAGTGGACGACGATTAGTGAAGTAGAGTGAGAATGAGAAGTGGGCAAGTGGTTCAGCCCGTGGTCCAGTCAGACGGTGATCGTGCGAAGCACGGTGGGTAATTATTGTTTCCGGCGGTGGCGCCGTCGCGTTGCGTCCTCGTGCGTCGGTGAAGGAGGGCGCGTAGGCGTCGTGGGAACGGTGGGGTCACCGGAAGTGTACGATAGCTCGGAGGGGGCCCTCTTTTGACTATCGAGTGTCTCGGACCGAGCCAGCGTAGGTGGGATCGGCATCGGGATGGATACTGCGGGTATAAACAGAGGATAACAAGATGGCCATCTGCGTTGATGGTCTTGGCGAATGGAGCGCGGATGCTGCCGATGCCTTAAGAAGAAATTGTAGCCGTGGGTCGTTTTAGTACGTGAGACGCATCGGTGTATCGGATGTGGGTGGAAAAAATCGAAGGATTTCACCATGGCGCAGCATCTCTTGTGACGTGATGAGTTTGGTAAAAAAGATTGTAGATACAGATGAATTGTCTATATATATATATATATATATGTTCACGTTATATACCTGGTGTGTGTACATACGTACTGTCAAGAGAAGATTAGGCTTTTTTTTTCACAACAAAACATGATCGAGGTAGAAAATGTTTCTTTTTATTGCTGACAATATAACGGGGTGGTCTATAAAAAGTGAGAAGGACTGAAAATCACTGTTTTATTATACAGTTGATAAGTGGGAGGTTCAGGTATATTATGTGCCAATGATGGAGTTATATAGTATTTTTATTTCTGTAGCGTGGGTGAAGGGGATATAATTTGATATCGGATATACCAATTGAGCCGTGCTGTATGTCTGTACGGTAAGGTTGACCGAGGATGATACCGAGGTCCAAGAGCTGGATGCTGAGGGGATTGGGAGGATAACATGATACGAGCTACTACCGACAATGGCGACCGGCCGTAAATCGCTCGGGGACACCGGGAGATTCAGGGGAATTACGGGATTATGGGATTAGAAGATGGGAAGAGACGCGTATCGCTTTTGGTTGGCCGCCGGTCTGTCTCGCCGGGTACGGGAGTGGGATTAGAAAGCACGTCAAGTCACCACGGGTCACGTCACCCAGATCAAGATTTACCCGTGGACCGGTGGCTCCTCTCCGCCTCGTGCGTTCACGTATGTCTGTATGCCGGGACGCCGACATACAGCCTCGCCCAAAACCACCACCCACGCGTATCTGTACCGGTGCGTTCTCATTAATCTCGGATCGATTAAGACGAAGACACGTGACTTGGTGGGGAGAGGCTAAATTAATTCGAGATTGATAAAATTTGAAAATCAATTAAAATAACGGAAAATATATTTTTTTTTTTTTTGAAAAATTTATAAACTTTTTTTTACCATTATTTTTTTTTGTATGAAAAAGCGCAACGGCCACTGGAGAGAAAGTACGGGACACCGTGTATGCACTGTAGAAAGGTGCAATGACTTTTGTACGGCACGGTACAGGTTTCCCGTATAGATCGTAGTGGCGACGACCGCTCGTAAAAGTCGTGCGGTCGGAGCCGGTACATAGAAACGAACGTAAAAGCATATGCGAGAGGTAAGAGGAAGAAAGGAGGATTGAGCGTCGAGCGAGGTGGAGCTGGCATGGGCCAAGGGGTCGATAGGTCAGACGTGTCCGTCCGGACGTATGGCTGAATCGAAACGACCTGTATAATCGACACGGAGAAAAGAGAGCTAGGAATGGAAACTAATAGCGGCGTTCGTAAAAGTGATAAAAACGACTCACCGGGATGCACTCGCACTTGATGCAGTACATAACACCGAAGGGAGGTCCCAGATCGGCGAACCAGGTCGATCCAAGCTCTCGTATCTGCTTGCCGAAGGTGCATTCTGAAAGTGTAAAAAAAAAATCCTATAAATACAACTGCGTCATAAAATTTTGTAAATATCAAAATAAGCCTAAAATTCAATAAAGACTGCGTGACTGAAAATGTACAAAAAAGAAAGAAAAAAAAAAAAAAATTCCAAACAACCCCCAAAATAAAAAATCGAAAAAACACCCATGGACTTCGAGAGCCTAAAGCCGAGCACGTAAAGGATACCCAAACGCGTCACGCTAATTGCCTATGCATCGCGCATCGTGGAAACTCCAGGGACGCGGCTGAATATCAAAACGGTTACGCACTACTCCTTTGCCCTTAGGAGACCGAGACATATTTTATTCATTCGACTCGTCCCGGATTCTAGGAACGAGCAGCACCGATTTTCAGAACGACGGGAAACGAAACCCTCGGGACGATACGAGAAACTGAACTACATAGACCCCGAGGACCTCAAAGCCCGGAGCATAAGTTAACCCACATGCATAAAGAGATCCTCGACCTCGGAGTCCAAAAATGCATCCCCCTCCTACTAAATTCCATTGAAATTGCATAATGCATTTGACTACTAAAAATAAAGATGCAAAAAAAATTTAATTTTTCATCTGACCCAAATCCATCC